ATATATATATATATATATATATATATATATATATATATATATATATATATAATATATATATATATATATATATATATATATATATATATATATATATATATATCTATATATATATATATATATATATATATATATATATATATATATATATATATATATATATATATATATATCTATATATATATATATATATATATATATATATATATATATATATATATATATATATATATATATATATATATATATATATATATATATATATATATATATATATATATATATATATATATATATATATATATATATATATATATATATATATATATATATATATATATATATATATATATATATATATATATATATATATATATATATATATATATATATATATATATATATATATATAGAAATAATCAATCCATTCGAATGAAATAATGAAACTGTTAATGCTCAGTTACTTATAATCGCGAAAAAAAAGTATGCATGGTTTCATGGTCCCCATGGTATATATAGTGTTCAAAATTAGATCTCAATATTTTTATTAAGTAATTCTACGGCTTGAAATACAGTTCTTAGTTTTTAGTTCTTGCAAACTAAGATCTACAACTTTTTCGTGTTTAAAATAAAACATTTTAAAGCCAAAGGTCTGATTTATTTACTTATTTATTTATAAACAAGCCTTTCCTACAGGCAGACGCAGCTGTCCAATAAAAGAAAAGCACAAAATGTCACAAAAGAAAGATACTCTGTCAATGGATTGGTTTAAAATATTTTTTAGAAGCTAAATCAAATTAAGAACTAATTACAACTTTTATTAAAGTATTTTAATTGGTGTACCGTCTTAAATGTCGTTTAAAGGCTTTAAAGCTCCGAGCAAATAGATCTAGATCCGGAAACGCGTTCTCAACCCTGTTATCAGTAATTGGAGAGTTAGAAGAGTAGTTTGAATGATATCTAGATATAGGGAACGTTTGCCTATTTGGAAGAATGTAGCGATTATTGTTAAGAGTATATTGTTTCCAAAACGAAAGGAGATTTAATCATATTGTTTCCAGCTCCAAAGATTGCATACAATAGAAGGTTTTCACTATAACTAAAAAAATGTCTCTGTCTATTAAATCTATAATTTATAGCATTTACAAATTTTCGTTGTACACTTTCCAGCCGTTCGATATATTTAAAATTAGCCACGTGTAAAATAAATCGAAGACTCTCTAGAGCTTCTTGATTAATATTTTCTACGTGCATCTCAAAAGGAAGCCCCGAATCCAATGTGGTACCCAGGTCCTTTACAGAGTCCTAAAAGTTCAGTTTGTAGTTACCTAGGTAGAGATAACTTATAATTTGCAGTTGTGGTAATTTTTTTGTAAACAAAATACAGTGACATTTCTCAGAGTTAACAAATAATCTATTCAGAGAACAATATTCTTCAAATTTTAACAAATCTCTCTGCAACAAGACATAGTCTGCCGCCGAATGAACCAATTTTTAAATTTTTAGGTCATCTGCCTGCAAGGAGGAAGTACTATGTAAAAAGCACTGACCAACATTATACATGAAAATGGCAAACAATAAGGGACCCAAATGCGACTCCTGAGGGACCCCCGAAGTTATATTTGTACTCTTTGATTTTATCCCACTTACAACAACATACTGAGCAACTCTTAAGGAGGCCGAGCAAAACAGCGAAATTTTCTAGTTTCACGGCAAGAGGGTGAGTGGTGTGTTTTATCAAAAACTTTGGACAAATCGTTGTAAACGGCACAAGTCTCGAACCCATGCTTCATTGACTGAACAAACGGTACCAATTACTAACGTATTTCTTTCTAAATCTGCAAAGATAAATAAATAAAATTTGGTGCAGTTACCAAATGATTTTATGTTCTATTGGATTGATTAAAATAGACTATTGAACATTAACTTAAACAATAAAATTTTATTCCAGTGATTCTAGTGATTATTTGCAGATGGAAATAAAAATGCGGATAATAAAAACAATTTCAAAAACGAATACCTCCCAAACGGTTTGAGATAGATTGATAAAGTAAGTGTGTGCAGAAAGAATAGCTCTTTACTAAGATAATTCTCAGCTTTACAGGGTAAAAAGAGATCCGATACAAAAAAATCACAATTGCTGAAGCAAGCGCCCTCTAGGATAGCTCGCCTTTGAAAACGCTTGTAGATTGATAATGGAATAACTAAAGCTAAATAAATATCTCCGTTTTAAAATTATTGTAATATTTGATATCATCACATTGTTGAACAAATCATATTTTTATTAATTTTGTCGTATAATTTGGATGTATAGTATCACCTTTATATGCGACACGGCATCCATAAAAAATAATGTAATTTGAAGAACTGCCAGCTGTCGTTAAAAACCATTTTACTAATTCGTACATTCCCGTGTTTTCTTCCAATTTAAGGGGATAATTATAGCTTTAATTCGACGTCACTTTCAAATCTACCTTGTACAATGACGAATCGATAAATAAAATGAAAGTATCAATAGTGGTCGCCGGACAACAATCGCTGGGATAATTAATAAGTAATTTAGCTAATGGCCGTAGTGATTAAACAAAAAAATTATCAGAGCACGAAAACGCTATCTTCAATTGCAAACGGTCAAGTAAATCCGTTCCTCAAAGCTATTGTGTGTTTTATTTCTAATCTTCCTCGATGACTTTACAGATTTATTATGTAAATTTTGACAGACTTTCAAAACAAAGCACGAGTTTAATTGGCCCCATCACGAGAAGGCAGTACTTCCTACGATAGTACGTGCCACACGGGCAAGTGCTATTCGTTTTCGATTGTTTGTGATCTTTAAAGATGGAGTAGGGATCTGCTTATATCAAGGTTAGGGGTTGGGGAATATTCCCTTAAAAATTTGTCAATTTTTAAGGGAATACAAAACTAAGTTAATACTAAAAAATACGGTGCAATACTTGATAGATTTTAGGAACTTTTATATTATAAATTGTAACCTTAAATCATTTTTGTAGCATTTTTACTTATTTGTGTATACAATTGCTCTTTAAAAGATCGTTTATTTTTATATTATATTTATATTAATTTTAATTTAAATATAAATTACATATATATATATATATATATATATATATATATATATATATATATATATATATATATATATATATATATATATATATATATATATATATTATATTGTGTTTTAAATATGTGGGATAGAGATATTATGATTATTATTATTACGAGACGCCCGGTATATGCATGCAAAGATCCCCAAGAAGCGGCCTTCGGTAAACTCGTACCAATTTGTTTCTACCGCGCACCATCACGTTCGTTTCGTTACGGACCAGAAATTCACCGCGGTATGGGATTTTTCCGGGGCATCTCGTACAAAATGGTCACCGGAACATTCTTCTAATGAGTGGCTCGACGAATTTGCATAGTTAAAAACTCGCCTCGAGCCGGCCGCGGTCCGTCCCGATCACTACTCCGCGCAGGCTGTAATTTAATTTGAATATAACCGTGGCATTATTTTGCCCTGACCGGAGCAACATGTGCTTCAAATCATATACCACGCAGACGAGCGAAAAGAGCAAAGCTCTCTTGTTTATGTTAAGCGCACCATCATAAAGTCCACTTTGCGAAGAATCGGCGTGCAATATAATATGACGTGGTGCCGTATACTTTAACAAATAAATATTATACCATCGGCGCTCGGGTTACATACGATCGGTACTTCGGTGGGGAACGCGAACAACTTAGCATTGTTGAGGGAAGAGATCTTTTGAGCGTTTCGTTTTTGGGAAGGGATCGAATTGCACTTACGGGACTGTCTTGACCGATAATTCTGGTAATCGAGATTTCCTCAGAATCATAAAAAAAAATCTACTGCTACTCGGAACTAAAAAATCAAAATCTTATTGAGCGTATAAGCAACTATAAACACGTAGCCATATGAATTTTTTCTTGACAAGTATATAATGTGAGCCATGGAAATTGCAACTCTCACTATATGAAATAAACTGATTTTAATATTGTTATTTGACCAGTCAATTGACTGAAATAAATTTAAAAATACCACGAAATTAATATTTTATTATTGGGATTCCCCGAATCGCTAAGTATCGTATTCTGATTTCTTGAAGAGGGTTATAAGTAAATTGGACATCACAAACGCACAATAATTTATTATAAAATATTATTAAATAATCATATGATTCTACAATTGCAAGATGTTATTTAAAACATTTTTTAAGTAGTCAATTAAGAAGTGGTCAATTGATCGGTCAATTAAAAAGAAGTCAATTGACCAGTTCCAACACTATTATTTTTTAAAGAATTTGCAAAGTGCTATTAGGTTTTAATACCCTCAGCCCTTAGCAAGGCATCCTGTTAGAAGACATGACGTGGTCTAGGGGATACTAGAATGACTTAGTGTCCTTAAAGACCGTTTCAGAATAACCAGCACCATCGGACATGAGTGAAGGGTGAAGGGTTGCTAGATATCCAAGAGATCGTTTTATGGTTTTGCTTTTAACCGATAGATACAGGCAGCTACTTCTAACATGTACGGACTGACTGAAATCATTAGTAGAAAGGGTCGTTTTCAGTGACGAATTACGTTATTGTTTGGATGATGGTTTTAGAAGGGTCTGCATGGAATGAGACTGCGATCACTAGGAACGTTATGGTTTGGAGTGCCATAAAAGTTGGAAGCAGGTTCCCTCTAGTTTCTTTGGACAGACACATGAAATCCAAACGTGTATAGATTACATACCGCTGCAGTAACCCTTCTTCCGCGACCTGCAAAGTCACCAAACTTATCGGCGATCGAACACCTCGATTTTTAAACAAAATGTAGAATCGAATTTTAAAAATTTAAGTTTAGCAAAGAAAGCAATACAAGATAATCACTTCTCAATAGTGTAAACTAATTTAATTTTCGACATTTTTTTTGGAAATGGAAGTTTATTGATTTCAAATTTGAATAAGGACGTTTTTGTTAAGAAAGCAATTTTTTAATTTGATGAAGTATTTCGGGTGGGTTTTTCGATAAGTAAAATACAAAACAATAGCGGAAAAATGTAAAGAGTTTTGAGAGATTGTGGCTAAAAAAACAGTAAAACAACCTGGAAACGGAGTCTAGTTGTCCAGTTGTGAGAACAAAAACTGTATGTATCATCTGGGTGGTGTGCTTTGTGGAAAAATTACAAGCAAACACTGCCGTATTAGTGCTGGGATCATTTGATCGAAAAACAATCGATGATTCGATTAATGAAACACGAAATACCTTGAACAAAGCTGTCGGGAATTTAAAAAATTATAAATATTTATTATTGTAAAAATGGATAACTCCTTGCAATGTGACCTTGCAGGAACTTGCAGGTTTTCCGAATCACTGAGAACCCTGCCGAAACTATGTATACAGGCCCGTTATAAATGGAGCTTTTGGTCATACTAAACCCATTTCTTAACTAGATAGAGCAAAATCGAATTACATGTCATACGTTCAACTTTTCAGAAATATATGATAAAAACCGTATGAACGTATCTTCAATACTGACACAAGACCTACATATATATAAACAAAAATGCCTTATATCTCCTCAATTTTTCATGACAGAATGGCTCAACACGATGTTGAAAGATCATAAAATAAGAAAGCAGTATTTATTTGAAGAAAACGAAAAGTTCTACAAAAATCTGGATGCTTAAAAAAATGCCGTGATAAGATTTCTTTCTATCCGAATAAGAAATTTTCAAAAATAATGCGCTTTTTATTATTAAATATTTTTTCAAAATCGAACTCATGACATGTAAGTCGACTTTGCTCTATCTAGGCAAGAAATAGATATCTCACGTTCCCTAATTGGGACCACATGTCTATCTGTTTTAGTATTTCCCGTATCGCTACACCGAATGTTCCGCAAAAAAAAATAAATAAAAAAAAACATTCGCAAAATTCGGATCCGCATGTCTACTGCCGAACCCCCCCTCGCCCCTATTGTATGTTTTGTGCGTCATACATCTGTTTTTCGATCCTCCCCTATATTGCGTTTCCCGAATACGCACAAAGTTACACGCGGCGTTAATACGCGCCGGGGTTGCCACTGAATGTGTGTAGGGTGGTAAATTTAACCCCTCACCTGGTGGCGGCCATATTTAGAGGCGTTCACAATGGCCGACATCGCGAATAGATTATATCAGACGATCCCATCTGAGATAGTCGGGAGATTAGCGGGGATCCTAACGGACTTCCGCAGATGGCCGCAGAACTGAAGAGAAAGGGTGGTGGCGTGGTAGTAGTATAGGTATATATAAGGCCCCCTGGGCCCCCTGAAATACGACATGCATGACGTCGAGATGAAGCTTCCTGCGTGTGAAAATAATTTATGAAAACAGCGGGGGCAGTCATTAATATCTAGTAGCCGGTCGGTTAGAGTGTTTGAACGGATGGACGACTAATGGAAAACCTAGTGGGGATTTAATGGTAATTTAAAACGGCGCTGCGTAGGTACCGTGGAGGATCGCTTTAAAAATTGATTAACGCTGGTGTTTTTCTTTTTATTTTGAAATTTTAATTTTGAACGTTCGTACGTTTAAAATTATTCTCTCTTGGTTTGCTATGCTGTACTGATATTCACGTATTACCGTTATTACCTATCGTGTATGCTAATCGGTTTTGTAGTGCTGCGGTGTTTTTATAGTCCTGTTGAACGTGAATTCTTCTTAAGAAAAGATTGACGTTTTGCTGACTAGGATAAATACCAAAAAGCAAAATAACATCAAGTAAACAACAAAAAATCTCGAACATTCCAAAAGAATCACTTACTGATTAACTAACTAACCAAATCAGTAAAAATGCACAGGGAATTATTAAATTCATAACTTTATCGAAAAAGGAGGGATAATTTTTTAATTAATGTCAAGCAGCTAGTTTGGAGTTCTATGTATCATCTATACCTATATTGTCATAAACTACCATACTAAAAGTTTACTATCTAACTTTCCATGACTAAAATTGGAAGTTCGTCATTTTG